GCCCACGGCTGCGGGGCACCCGGGCAAGCCAAGGGAAGGCATGGGGGTGTGACCTAATATGCTAATGAGCTGCACTGTCAGGGTGTGGCCTATTATACTAATGAGTTCCTGCTGCTTAAGAGCAAACGATGGATGTTTTCCAAGGTTGTTGCCGTGACACACAAGCCAACAGATACCTAGGATAGGAGCACAACCACTGTACCCAAAAGGAAAGTCCACAATAGCTACATTTGCTGGGCAGCATGCAGAGCTGCTGTTTTATAGCTATTTTAATTAGTGGTCAGATTCCTGGGAAAGAGCAATCAGTGGGCAGCAGGAGTTTTGCTGAGGCATGGATATCTGGGCAAATGGATGATGTCTGCACAGTTGGCCTAGGAGACTAAGGAAACAATCCTAAAAAGATCTTTTTTGTTGTTCAGTCGCACAGTCGAGTCCGACTCTTCACGACCCCATGGACCAGATCACGCCAGGCCTTCCTGTCTTCCGCCGTCTACTCAAAAGTAAATCTCATGGTATTCAGTAAAGCGTACTCCCAGGAAAGTGCACTCAGGAAGAGTCCCATCTTAAATTCATCCCCCATCATTCTTACTAAACCTGAAATTAACACATCTGTTTAGCTGTGCTCCTTTGCTATCACATCTTGCAATCCTTATATTTCACTTCTTTCCTTCTCTCCTCTAAGTGTTAGGCACACATAGACTTTCCCATGTTCTCTCTTCCTTTATTGTATGAAGCTTCTCAGGGAGTACACAGAACTGTTTCCAGAAATTGAATTAATGTTTAACATTGTTTCCCAGCTAGCTAGCAACCTTGTAGAAATAATCTGTGGCTTCGGCTGTCTCAGAGAAATTGGCTTCGGAAAGGCCAGCTTCACCCAACACTTTGATCTTCTCTTGAATCATAGGCCTAATGGAGAATAAAAGCACAACAGTTAAACAGGGGAAAAGAATATTTCAAACAAGTACTTAGAACTCAAGCGGCTAAGGCATCATATAGCTGATAGCTCCTTCTACAGGGATAACTTATATTAACCACACAAAAGAGGGGATTTTGGTCATTTCATTAGTCTTTCGTCCCCTCCATGAATTCCATATACTTCTAAAAGAGTCTATGCAATTAGAATTTGTTTGTTTTTTCTTCCTCATGAGTTAGCAAAGCTCAGATGATATGTGGCTAGGAAATGGAAAATGAAAACGAGGAACAGTGTTACAATACAAGTGTTTTGAAAAGAATTTTAAATTAAGGTTTGCATAGAGTGATCAATATAAATGAAGCTCTGAAAGCAATATGTTGTCGAAGGCTTTCATGGCCAGAGTTCATTAGTTGCTGTAGATTTTCTGGGTTGTGTGGCTGTGGTCTTGGCATTGTAGAACCTGACGTTTTGCCAGTAACTGTGACTGGCATCCTCAGAGGTAGAACACAGAAAGATGGCGTACTCTCTGTGTCAAGGTGAGAAGAAAATGGTAGGCAGGTAATTTATATCTACTCCAGAAGGTGGGGATTCCTTTGGAATCACTGATGAGATGAGAAAACTTATGAAAAAACACAACCTACAAACAGTATTCAGACCCACCAGAAAAATACAACAGATGCTACAATCGGCAAAAGACAGAAGAGACCCCCTCACTTCTGCAGGAGTATACCGCATACCATGCAGTTGTGGACATGTTTACATCGGGACCACACAGTGTTGCATTCAGACAAGAATAAAAGAACATGAAAGACACTGCAGACTCGGCCAACCTGAAAAATCAGCAGTGGCTGAACATAGCCTGACTCAAACAGGACACAGTATTTTGTTCCAAGACACTGAAAGGCTGGACGACACTTCCAATTACCATGTCAGATTACACAAAAATGCCATTGAAATTCATAAACATAAACACAATTTCAACAGGAAAGAAGAGAGTTTAAAAATAAATAGGGCATGGTTTCCTGTCCTGAAAAACACAAAAGGCTCTACATCTGACAACAGCACTACAGATAAGATTAGAATTTCAACAGCCAATCCACATACTAAAGAACCTCCTCAGGAAACAATCCATATACAAAAGAACCTCCTTAGGAAAGTTCCTCCATTAGCATATTCATAGCCTGGGGAACTCCTACAAGATAATGACTCAGCCCTAACCCACCTTCTGGAGTAGATATAAATTACCTGCCTACCGTTTTTCTTCTCACCTTGACACAGACAGTACTCTAACTTTCTGTGTTCTACCTCTGAGGATGCCAGTCACAGTTACTGGTGAAACGGTCAGGTTCTACAATGCCAACACCATGGCCACAGAACCCGGAAAATCTACAGCAACTAATCTGAAAGCAACGTTCTCCAACCAAAAGCATATTATATTTTAGTGAGCTGTAACAAGAAAGAGCAAGGAACAAAATACAAACACTGCATTTCCTTTTTTGCTCTGGCCTCACAAGGGCAATGTGTCAGCTCCTAGTTCCTTTTAAGCTTTCAATGAATAGGCACTGGGCTCAATATGCCATTTCACAGAGCAGTTTCTGGTCAGCATGCAAGTCAGTATTAGAACACATTCATCTCCTCATCTCAGTGCTACAATTAAATTTCAGGTACACAAATATCAGAAAGACATGGTCCGACGGAAAAAGCCAGTGGGGTACAGTGCTTATAGTGCTCTACTAGGAATGGGGAGATGGGCGTTTAAGATCTCACTCCGCCATGGAAGCCCGCTGGGTGACCTTGGGCCAGTCTTCTCTCTCCGCCTAACATACCCCACAGGATTTCCATGAGGATAAAATGGACTACAGAAAGGGCAAGGGGAAAAATGCGATGGATAAAACTGATCCATAGATAAGAAAAAAGAAAGAAGTTTTGGTCTAGCTGTGGCACAGTCAGGCCAACAGATATTCTGCTCTTGCATACGCATGCCACAGACTCCTGCTTTCTGGGCCACTTGTGGCAGCTATGTTACCAGTTGGCCACTGTGGGTTAAAAACAGCAGCTTGAATGAGTGGGAAGGGTACATTAATTATACTCCATAGATAACTGGAAGGAGAGAACTTACACACATTCAAAGTAATAACATTAATGCCAAAAAAAATCGAGTGAACTGCTACTGCATAGCAGGCAAGAATGGGAGCCTTTGAAATGACTGGTACAAAGCTCTCCACAGACGCTGTCCTGGCCACGCACTGCTCTGCTCCATCTGCAATAGTAGACTAATAATTAACCCCATCACTGCATGCACACACCCCTACAAGGAGTAGGAAAACGTTGGGAGTGCAAAACAGAAAGCGCTTATGAAGCACAACTGACCCCCAGAGTATAATAAAACAAACTCATTTAGGACCACAGAAACATAATTCTGTGCTGGTATACATAAAGACATAACAGCCAACTAACTGGTTTCATCTCAGTTTTCACGTATGTGTTTCATTCTAGCACAGAGGTATCAAACAACAGCCCGCCCAGGGCTTATGCGGCCTGTGATCAAATGATGCAAGGGAAGACGTGCTGGGGGGAGTGGGCAGTAGGGTTGCCAGGTCTGGGTTGGAAAATACCTGGAGACTTTGGGGATGGGGCCGGGAGAGGGCGGGGTTTGCAGAGGCAAGGGACCTCAGCATGGTCCAACGCCATAGAGTCCACCCTCCAAAGCAGCCATTTTCTCCAGGGGAACTGATCTCTGTCAGCTGGAGATCAGTTGTAACAGCAGGGGATCCCCAGGCCCCACCTGGAGGCTGGCAACCCTAGTGGGCAGAGCCACTTCACTGTGGCTTCAGCGTGGCAGAACAACCTCATCTGCAGCAGTCAAGCAGCACCGCTGGCTCTCCAGTCCACCCATGTGGGTTTTCCTGTGGACCCCCCTCCCAGCCCACGGGGCCTTGCAGTGAGGATACACCAACTCAGAGCTTACCAGCTGCTGTCCTTCATACAGTTTCTGTCTCCAGTACCTGGCATTACGTTTTATGGCACACATGGCCTGACAAAAAGTGACATGTAACAAATGAGTTCGACACCCCTGTTCTAGCAGAAGGTCACAGTCCATGAGTGGCTGTTTCTCCTCCTTTTGATTTGGATTCCCTTATTTAATACTAAACGTATTGGTGGCCTATCAATGTTTTTTTAATTGGTTTTGAACATTTTGAGGTTGACACTGAACATATTAGTACTGCAAGTTAACAGTACTTCTGTGTATCCATATGACAAATGTGATTACTCAGAGGATCACTTTATCTGGAAACCCACTGTGGAGTGTGCTTCTACACAAGCATTAGCACGCAGTTATGACTGTGTTGTATTAAAATGGGTTATATAATAATATGTGAGCCAGTCATGCTTTATAAGCATTTCCTTGCTTGCTTGCTTTTGGTAACACCCAACCTGCCTTACAGTACTTAGATTACCGAGATAATGTGTGCTCAGTACTTGAAATGACCTATGTAAATGCTTACTATTTTCATCTTTAAAGTGGTAACAAGGCAGTGGCATCTCTTTAGTCCTCATTATCAAGCAGACAAATGACACCAGGGGTCATTTCGTAGAAAAAGAGGTGCAGGAGCTCATTAGCATAATTAGCATATGCCACACCCCCTGACATCATCAGAAGTGTGTCAGAAGATAACACCCACTGCTCAGGCTCCACTGGACTGTTTTGGATTGCTAGCTATTGGGGGGGGGGGAACGTGCAGATCTGCCCTCGCAGAGGAGGGAGAGCTTGTACCTGAAGGCGGGCTGGGGGGGGGGCTCTGCCACTTACCTGGCTGCCTCTTGCTCCTCATGGCCCGACTGAGGGCTGCTAGGAGCAGGGGGCGGGGCTTGTTGCATGTGTCCATCCCCATGGCTCCTTACTGCCGGAGCTCCGCTCCTATGTGCTCCCGCAGGAAATGACCCCTGAATGACACCATCCACTGAAGTGGCCTCTGTCACACAGCAAACTAATCATGGGAAAAGGCTCATCCCCCTGAATTAATCCTGCATTTGAGTTCCAGTCCATGACAGCTATGGTTTTGCAACATAAAATCCAGCAACGATCTGGGATGACCCAAGTTTGTACACTTAACTAAAACACTGCAAATTTCCACAAACAAAAACTCGAGGGGGGGAAAATCAAGCATGAAATATTGTGCCCCTTACTGGCACCTGCAAACAATAAGTGCTGTTCATTTTGCAAAAGGGTTTCTAAACTGAAAGAGCAGAACATTTTCAGAACCCAGCCAGAGTGGAGGGGAAATGAATATCGCAGTGGATAACCAGCTCAATTTTAACGTGTCACACAGTGTCACAGAGTGTGGGGGGGGGGGGGGGGGATATTAACATGAGAAGGTGTTGATGTGATAACTTGGCTACTAAATATGCCACAGAACTAAAAGTGACCTCAAGAGTCCTAATTGTTTTTTACCCAGAACCACAAACTGCACAATGGATGACGTTTGAGTCCAGTGGCACCTTTAAGACCAACAAAGTTTTATTCAAGGTATGAGCGTTTGTGAGCAAGGCACACTTCTTCAGATACAATGAAATGGAAATATGGATAACAGTCATACATATATAGCATACAGAATGATGAAGGTGTTTTTAACAGATTAAAAGAATAATAAGCTTAGTATATATGGCTATCACCTGTTTGGGTTCAACTTGGGGGAGGGGGGGACAAACATGGACTCAAACTTTGTTCTACTGATTCAGACCAACATGGCTACCCACCTGGATGCTAAATGGGTATGAGAGAGAAAGAGAGACTTCCTACCATAAGTAGTCATCAGCTGTGCCTTTTGCTACCAAGTAATGGATATCAACAGAGCTCGTTTGCCCAATTCGGTGTGCCCGATCTTCTGCTTGTATCAAAATCTGGGGGGGAGGGGTTGGGAAGGGTGAGTAATTAGTTCACCAGAAAGTAGGACTCATTTTACACTGCTGCAGTCCTCAATTGTTGGTACTGTGCCAATGACACGATTAATTAAACAAATGAATGGATACCTTTAAATACTAGCAGCACCCCCCCATTTTACAGTAGGTTTAGAGCACCAAGTGGCAATTCACAAGATCAACTACAGTGGACAAGCCAGCCACTCCTCATACCTGTAAACTCTTAAGTTGTTTTAATGGGTGGTGATACAAGCGGACTCTAATAGGATCAAAGAATACAACATCAGAGCTGAAATCCCTCCCCTATCCATTACTGTAAGCTGCCTTGAACCACAAGGAAAGACGAGTGTCATTTCCCACAGCCAACAACGGAGTACACGCTTTCAAGAAAGGTTATACTTTTATTGAAGAGCTATAGATGCATTAACATAAGAACGGCAGTTGTCCCTTGGACATAATAAGATATAGGGCATTCGTATGCCCCCCCCCACTGCGCTGGCCAATTAGGCACCCTCCTGCGCATGGGCTAAAGCCAGCAAACTGTTTCTAGGCGAAACTGGGAACTGTCTGGCGCCCACGGCTGCCTGGAAAGGCAGACAACACACACTCCCACCTGCACATCATTATAGATAAGCATTTCGGCGCAAAGCATAGACAGGAATGCAAAAGTAATTTACACAGACTCTGAATGAGCATCCCAACCCCCATGGCAGCATAGCTGACAATGAGATATAAAAGTCCTAATAAATGAATGAAGGAATATCCTGCTCTTTGGTTTCACAGCTGGACCCTCTTATTTACAGGACTGCCTCTCTCCCTATGCCCTGCCATGACAACTCCGCTCATGTCAGCAGGTGTTTCTGCAAGCGCCAGTCTGCAAGTGGGCAAAATCAACAACTGTCCACACGACGCACCTTTTCTCCATTATGGTTCCTGCCTGGTAGAACGGCCGGCCTGATGAGGACAGGAAAGCTCCCACTCCCCTAGCCTTTCATAAACTATGCAAAACTGAACTATTCAAGAGGTTGTTTCTTTACAGGTATGAAGGCTGCAAAATGGTTTCACAAACTAACTCGGATAAATGATTGGGACTTGTGGTCTTTACCACTCTATACAGCATATTCTAAGTAGGACCCTATTATGTAATTTCTGTACTACAATGTGTCATGTTAATACTTAACACTATGCTTGTGTTTCTTTTTGGTGGTTCCAGACTTATAATCTCCTAATGCATTAGTTATTGAACGTTCCATTTTGTTGACTGTACTGACTCACTATGTGTAATCAGACTTGAGTCCACACGAGAAAGGCAGACTATAAATAACATCAATGAATAAGCAGCCCCCATTTTGGGGCCGTACCCCTCTCAATCAAGTACCCAAGGGTTTCTTACCCCAGGGTTCCAGAACAGCTCTGCAAACACAACCAAATTAGCAGAGGAGAAGGTGAGTCCCATGTTAGCTGCTGTTAGAGAGAGGACAGCCACAGAATACTTCTCAGAGAACTGAAACTCTTGGCACAAAGACTGACGATCAGCCGAGGATGTGGAGCCATCAATGCGAATGTACCCAGTGTGCTGAAAGGGAAGCAGAGGATACAAAGGGTCACCTCATCATTCCTCTTTTCTTTTAAAGATATTTTTATTGCATTTTCTAAACTAAACCTCTATGGGGTCGGGGGAAGGGAACAACCTAAAACTACAAGTAACAAGAGATCATTAATACATATTTTGAATTAATCGATGTTTCCGTAATATCAAAATGGTAATACATGAGAGTTATTGCAATACAATTGTAGAGAATAAAGCGAGTATTCAAAAACAGATTTGACTAAAGTGTATGCTTCTTAGCTTAAAGTTATTGATTAATAGTAGGTATCAGACAGAGTTACATTATTATACTTATTTTCTTCCTTTATGTTTCTTTTCAAACTCCCTTTTATTTTTAGGAGGCTTAGGAGCCATAGCCCCTAATGCTGCTTCAGAGTCTAAGGATTCAGCCGACGAGGAGTTCTTAGAACTTTCTTCATTTTCGTCTTCTTTTTCTGCATCTTTACCGTCCTCCAGTTTCTCCGGTCCATCTTTATCTTGTAGTTGCTCAAGAAATTTTTTTGCTTTAAGAATAGAGTCAATCTTTTCTTTCTTCCTGTTGAAGTTGAAAATTAGGCCTTCCGGTATAATCCATCTGTAAGGGACGTTATCCTTTTGCAAAAACAATGCCAGGTCTCTGTATTGTCTTCTTTTTCTGATCTCAAATGGAATGTCTTTTAAGGTTTTGATTTGTTCTCCTTGGATTTTCAAAACATTTTCGCTTGTTGCTTTCAGAATCAAATCTCTTGTTGACCTTTTTGAGAATTTGACAAATATTTGCCCAGGAAGCTTATTTTCCTTTATATATTCTGGATATGTATGATATATCATATCCATATCACTTTGTAACACTTCTGCTGTTAAGCCTACCATGGGAGCCAGTTCCTTACTTAAAATCTCCTTCAGGTCCTCTTCTCTCTGCTCCAAAATGTTCTGAAATCTCAGGACATATGCTGATTTTTTCATTTAGAGAAGTAACAGTTGATGATTCTCAGAGATTTTATCCTTTTCCACCACCTCCAATCTTTGTCCAAACTCCTTGGACTTAAGATCAACTTTCTTCAGCTTCTTGGTTATCTTCTCTGTTTTTGCTGAGGTTTCTTGAAGTTCCTTGTAAGCATGTCAAATTTCTGGTTAAGCATGGTCATCTGGTCCACTAGAAGGCCCAAGGCTGCAGGAATCATTTTGAAGAAGTCTATAGTTGCTTCCGGTTTAAAAGCCAGAGGCGATGTGCTGGCTGCTCCTGTAAGTTTCACTTTCGTTGACATTTTCTCCGAGCGCTGCATCATTGTTTATAGTTAGTAAGAAGTTTTGAAAAATCTCTTAAAATCTCTTAAAGTCTTAAGATATCGCTTTCTAGATAATCCACACCACACTCCGTCAGCATCCACTCTTTTCAAGCTGCTCCCGCCTCCCGCTTTTAACTCAGTTCTTTGGACGTGGGATATTCCCCCCCCCACTTCCGCTTATTTGGGGCTTTGGGGCGGCTTTACTCCCGACGTTCAGATGGCAGCTCGCTAAATGTTAAGTTTACTCCCATTCTTACTTGCGTTTGTTTAAGCAGTAGGGAAGATCGGTTCTGGCGGATCTCTTGCATGCGCCTCTTGGTGCCATTGCTGGCTCCATGCTGCAAAGAGGCGCCTCAGTCCCTCGGCATTTTGCCTTGGGAGAGGCACCTCTTGTGCCCCAGGCTGCAACCCTCCTACAAAGGGTTGCAGGGGTCCAAGATCAACTTGGACCCCTCTCCATCGGTACGTTTGTGGGCCACTCACATCAGAGCAACGATCAGAGCAAGGCTCACATCAGAGCAACCCGCTTGTGAGTCGCCAAAAACCGGAAACCCTAGGGTTCCTCTTTTCAAATTTAGCTGCACCAAGTTAGGACCCCCAAGTTTCATCTAGTCAGCTTGCTAAATGGGGTCCCTCATTCACTTTACTAGACTCCTATCTTGATCCAGCAGCAAAATGCAGGGAGTTCTCAGATGGTCTCACATCCAGACATAGGCTAGGCCCATGCTTGCTTACCTTCTGTTATCTCACACCTGCAAACAGTACAAAATTGGGAGTCACTTGAAGGTTAAAGACTGTCTCATGCCAGTTATATCTAGGGGTGTGTGTTTGGATCTACCCTAGTCAAAAGTATATTTCGGCATCCTGAATATATCCAGGGTTTCACAGGAAAACTGTGTGTGGGGGGAAAATCCCGAATATGTTCAGGAATTATGGGTAGCTCTGAAAACAGCTGTTTGTCAGGTTTCTACTGCAGTCGCTTTAAAGCTTAAAGGAATAAGCCTGAAGATCAGCCATTCCATCGGGGAGCTGAGAGCTCCCCGCCAACTCAGCTTGGGACTGGCTTTTCGTACAGCTTGGTTTAAATTGGGCTGCAGGAGAAGTCAGCCCAGGATCAGCTGTGCCTATGGGGAGCAGACTCCTCCCCGCTGGCACAGCTTGTGATATGCAATTCCCTTCCCCCTTCTTTGTCTTCTCAGGTCTATTGGACCCCCAAAAATTCAAGTTTTCCAATCCAGTACTGGGATCCAGGATTTTTTGGGGAAACTTAATTTTTTTCTGGTACGACCTAAACTAAAAAAATATATGGGGGGGGGGAATTGCACACCCCTTGTTATGTAATTCTTCAGGATCCCCATGTTATTTGGCTTGCCTCTTATACAGCCTTTACTTGACCCTTCCCTTGCCATTTGGAACAGACAGCATGGTTCTCCACCTGATCCATGTCCCCACTACTACATCGTGAAGACCATGGGTCCTGTTATTAGTCAACATGGAATGTTTCCAGCAAGAGTAGCTAAGTAGTATTTGGTAAGATATGGGATTGCTACACGCTCAGATGAAGTAAATATTGCGAAACAAATGTTCACATTGCGCTGTTTTCGTGCAAGTGATGACAGAAGGGTATTCCTTACAGAACTACAAAAATACTTCAGTAAATGTTTTTGCAACTTATCTTCATTGACTCTCCATTATTTTTATCACAGATGTTGTTTTTGGAGTTCCCACTACAATCTTGCCTGATCCTGACCTTACGCTTATCAACAGTCAGCCCCAGCAAATATACTTTCCAATACTTGTGAAAAGCAACAAACAAAACCATTGTGAATTCCCTTAGTACATACTAAAGATTCCCATGACATGGGACAAAATTTAGACTTGGGAGTCCTGTAATCAAATCTCAGCTCAGGCCCAAATGTATCAGGCAAGAGAGAGGGCTCTAGTTTCAGACCCAGTGCTTCCTCCTAACCAATATCTGCAGTGTAGCAGGACTCATCGAGGCACTTTGTCGATGAATGACATAAGTCCACAAATGCACTTGATGGATGACTGATGGTGACCGTGTCCTTTAATCCAACAAGCACCTACCTCAGCACAAAGCAAGAGATGGATAAAGGCCCATCTTTGATGTGGTGCTACCTTCAGCAGCAGAGACCAGTTTCACTGCTTCCAAGGCCCTTACAACTTAGCGGAGACATCCTAGAACTCCAGAAGTTCTTAGATGCAGAAATCTGTCTCAGATAAGCTCAACATACTATCAGAGCCAAGATCACATGAGGCCCCCCCTCCCCAGATGACAAGAGGGCCTGGGCCAGTAGCAGCTATGAATTCTGCCTGGCTATCAGAACCAGCTCCAGCAGGTAGACCTGAGGAGGAGATTCTCCTATAGAAAGTCAGGCTTTTCCCTCATAAAACCCAGAACACTGATGAGTCAATATGCACAGTTCTGCTGCTCTTCATCCTTCTTTGTGCTCATTGCACTGGTGCATGGCTCCAGAAACTCACTCTGGTCAACTTTTTGTACCTAGAATCATAGAATGTTAGAGTTGGAAGGACCTTGCAGGTCATCTAGTCCAACCCCCTGGACTCTGCAGGAGCATAGCCAAAAGATAGCCCTACAACATACTCGAAAGATGGTCATCCAGCCTCCACTTGAAAACGTCCAGCAAAGGAGCATCCACCACCTCCCGAGGCAGACTGTTCCACCGCTCAACCACTCTTACAGTTAGGAAGTTTCTCCTGATATTTAGCCGGTAATGACTCTCTTGTAATTTCCACCCATTAGATCTAGTCTTGCAATTCTACATGACAACCCTTCACATACTTGAAGGCTGCAATCATGTCCACTCTAAGCCTTCTCTTTCCCAGGCTAAACATACCCAACTATTTCAGCCTTTCCTCATAAGACTTGGATTCAAACCCTCTCACCATCCTAGTTGCCCTCTTCTGGACACGCTCGAGCTTGTCAACATCCTTCCTAAAATGTGGTGCCCAAAACTGAACACAGGACTCCACGTGAGGCCTGACCATAGCAGAATAGAGCGAAACTACCATCTCCCATGATCTGGACACAATGCTTCTGTTAATGCATCCTAAAATTGCATTCGTTTTAACCAGTCAGCTTTGGAAAGCATAGCTCATATGTCAATATTTATTTGCTATAGGAGACTTGGCAGCTTGAAGACAGGAATAAAGTACCTTTTGTTGTTTTTTAATTGCTCTAAACATGGGTTGGTTTGTTCCAGCATTATGAATCCCTTCTGGTCAGTCTCATCTTTTGTGAAATCAGGAAGAGAACAAACAAGATGGCAGAATCTACCCACCACTGAGGATATGCCACAGTCGAGTCCAACTCTTTGCGACCCCATGGACCACATCACGCCAGGCCCTCCTGTCTTCTGCCATCCTCTGGAGTTTGCTTAATTTCATGTTCGTTGCCTCGATAACACTGCCTAACCATCTCATCCTTTGCCGTCCCCTTCTTCTTTGACCTTCAATCTTTCCCAGCACCAGGGTCTCCTCCATTGAGTGCTCCCTTCTCATTTGGTGGCCAAAGTATTTGAGCTACAGCTTCAGTATCTGGCCTTCCAGGGAACAGTCAGGGCTGATTTCTTTTAGGATTGACTCCCTCATGGAAAACTGCCTTGACGTAGTGAGGAGGCTTGCGTGGTTTGATGAGGCTGTGGGCTGTACCGTGGAGGGTCATCCAGGATGGACAGGCCACAGCAGAGAACTCAGACCAAGTATGATCCACTGAAGAAGGAAATGGCAACCCTCTCCAGTATCTTGGCCAAGAAAACCCCATGGATAGTATGCCCCAGTACCCCTTAGTAATTTGCCACTGACAGAAAAGCTTCCCAGGGCAAAACTAATAATAACAAGTAGCAGATCAGTTACCTTTTTATGCAGCTCCTCACTAATTGCATCCAGAATTAGTTTGTGATGAGCAAACACCAGAAATTTTTCTCTTCCACTTTCCAATAAATCTAGGATGTAGTCTCTGTATTTGGAGACAGAGAGAAAACCAGTAAACTCATATACAGGCATAACTATTTTTCTCCCCAGGCGTGTGCAGCGTGTCATACAAAGAAAGTCAATGGCTCTGAACCTTTGATTTTACTTACAAACCAGTTTATCAGCCAAGTGCCAGTTCACAGTGCCCACGTTTCCCATCCATTTAAGGTTACAGACACAAAACACCACATAATTCCCCAATTAGGTTAGCTTCCAAAAATACAGAATCAGGACTTTTCAACAAGTGCAATAAACATATTACAAGGTAAAAGTTTAAATTAATAAAGTACTTCTTAAAGAATAACCATTGGATGCTGAAACTAAATTTTTAAAGGAAGTTTGATATAATTTTGCTTCAGGAGATTTGGCGGGCTGAACCCATTATTTGTAATGGTTATAAAACATATGATCTTCGAGCACTGCCCTCTAAAAGAGGGAGAGCAAAAGGGGGATTGGGTACCGGTATTTTAATTTCAACTAATATGAATGTAAGGGCTAAACAACTGGCTTCTTTTAATCATTTGGCTATGGCATTAGTGTTGATGTACTCTCAGTTAATGTGTTTAATTATTAATGTCTACTGTCCTCAGAATGAAATAGATTGGGCAGGTCTTGAAATGTACATCTGGAATTTAATTAGTGAGTATCCAACTGCATATTTGATAGTTGGGGGAGATTTTAATGCGAGAATAGGTCCGAATAACGATTTTATCTATAAAACATACAATACCTTTCCCCCATAGGAGCAAGTACCTTCTCCCCCACATCTGAGAGATGTTCAAAAGATCAAAAGTTTAATTCTGCCGGTTACAAGTTTTTACAAATGGTAAATGGAATTAATTTTAATATTCTAAATGACCCATACCCTATAGATTATCTGGCAGAGTTTACTTATTGCTCTGTTGAGAGGAGGAGTGTTAATTGATTATATTATTGTCTCAGGAAATATGTTTGGTCGAACTATTTGAAGTTTCCTCTTATTTAGATAGTGATCATTTATCTATTGTTCTGAGATTTGTGGCGTTGAACTGTGATCACCGAATCATGGATTTACATCTGGAGGGTAACGAGGAAGCAAATGAATATTATAGGGGATGTTGGAATGAAAGGAGAAAGAAATTGCAGGACTTTTGAGTTAGGGTGCCCTTAATGAGTTTTTAACTAAATTGGGAATTGAGGGTCATGATGACTTACATCTGGATGCCTACATCCAAATCATAAAAGAAATACAAAAGGTAATGGGTAAGCCCTGTTTTTAAAAAAATAGATTAACCAACAGTAATTCAAAGCCTGGGTTTGATAAAAACTGTAAAACTATGAAAAGTGCTCTTAATGCTATGTACATCAAATACAGGTGTAATAAGGATAATGACACCCTACAGGATATGAAAACCTAAAAAAAACCAATATAAGGCCTTGATACAATGGAAAAAGAAAGAAGCCATAGCCCTTGCATGGGAGCAACTAAGCTCAGCAATCAGAGATCAAAATCCCCATTTATTCTGGAATATGGTCTCTAATTGTATTACTAGATCTCCCTCAGTGTGCAGTAATACAATTCCCCCTAAAATTTGAGAAGATTATTTTGAGCAGCTCTATCGAGTTCAGGATGAGGCTGCAACAGAGGATCTGGATATAGATAATTTACCTTCTTGGCCCTTTGTGCATCCTCAAGAAACTAAGAACCTTATACAGATATTAAGATCCAACAAAGCCCCAGCGGATCTGATTAAGAGGAAACTTGAGTGGTGGGTTCCGGTTCTTACTACTTTATTTACAACTATAGATAGAACAGGTAGAATACGTAAGGACTGGGGGGTGGCAATAATTGTGCCTGTTTACAAGAAAGGGAATAGAGAGGGCCCTGCCAATTATAGGCCAATTAGTCTGCTAAGCATAATAAGTAAGCTTTATTCAAAACATTTACAATGGAAGCTAAAAAATTGGATGGAGCAGGAAGGGGACAGGAGCAAGCAGGCTTTAGAGAGGGACGGTCGTGTTTAGATCAGTGTGTGATACTGAACCATTTAATCTCCAAATACTCTTAGAACTCTTTAACTTCCTTGTATGCAGCTTTTATAGATTTTAAATCTGCATTTGATTCTGTTTCAAGAACCACCCTATGGGAAAAGTTGAAATCCTCTACGATAGATAGGCGCCTATTGTTTCTATTGAGAGCTCTCCATAAAAATACTTTTATTAGGGTACGATGTAATCCACAAGCTGATCTAACAAAGATGATTAGTTCAGACAGAGGAGTAAAACAAGGATGTATTTTGGTGCCACTTTTATTTAATATTTATATCAATGACATGGTTCAGTTTTTGCACAAACTTGAATTCTACCCTCCAAAGCTTGCAGACAGACACATTCCGATATTACTTTATGCAGATGACACAGTTTTGCTTTCTAGGACCCCTAAGTGTCTTAAGAGAGCTCTGTGTGCTCTCTCACAATACTGTGGTCAAAACTGCTTGGAGATAAATTACACAAAGATCAAAATAATGGCTTTTAACAAACAAGCCTAGGGTGTTTAATTGGTTTATTGACTCTCGTCCCATTGAGCAAGTTCATTGTTATAGATACTTTGGAGTCGTGTTTCAGTCGTCTGGTCGCATGAAAGGCCATGTTGATTACCTGTCAGCTAACGCACAGAAAAGTGCTGGTGCTATCCAAAGGTTCTTTTGGTCCAAAGGAAGTTGTAACTTAGAAGATGCCATTAAGTTATTTACTATAAAAGTATTACCCCAATTATTACATGGAGCACCTCTGTCCCTCCAGGCAAACTTGACCTTACTTGGAAGAATGCAATCGAAATTTTTAAGAGCTATTTTTCAAGTTCCAACAACTGTTTCAAATGCTGCAATCCATTTAGAGGCTCACCTGGTTATAGTGGAGGCAAGATTGTGGATTGCTGCTTTCCATTCTTGGTTAAAACTGATTTCCTCACCCACTGGCCTTACTCATACTGTGATGCAAAATAACTTTGTTCCTTTATAGCGGAAAAAGATAGAGGGTAAACTGGTTTGTTATGGTTTTTCTAATCAGTTTATACTGTCTTTGGGATATGCTCAGGCTAGATCAGTTCTACAACAAAGAATATTAGATGTTGAAGGACAGATGGATGTGAGCAGGATTAGGAGCCCTGTATTTGATATAAGTACACTTAACAAGATAATTTTGAGACCTTACATCAAATACTTAGATATCTGTAATCACAGAAGAATTTTTACCTTATTAAGATATTATGCCTTACCCCTCAGCTATATTGGAAGCCAGATTTACTAGATCACTGAGGAAAAGTTGTATATGTGGTATGAGAACTGATGAAACACTGGAACATGTAATTTTTGATGGTAGTTGTAATGAATCCTTGTTTTATATGTGTGTGTGTCTCTTTAAAAGTTTGGTTGCATGGCTGTGTGCTGGACTAGAGTGCTTGAAGAGACAAGTGTGGTGAGATTGGTGATTGACAGAGAGGGGGAGGGGTTTTAGAAAGTGTTTCTGAGTGGATGAATGGGTATGTCCTTCAGGAGTGACAGTTTAGACAGTTGATGAAGACAGTTGATATGTTAGGAGTTCGTTCTGAAGTCTGAGAGAAGCAGTCTGTGTGTGTGCAGTTAACAGCTGAGGTTGTTCTGAGAGAATAGTAAAATGTAAATGAAAGTAATTGAAGACAAAGTTTAGGAAAGGCTGTATGTCCTGGAGAGAAACAGTGAACTTACATGACCTTGAGTTAAAGTTACAAAGTTACATGCCAAGATCCCTGACAGTGAAGGGAAAAGTGTGTGAAATACCAAAGAAATTGTTTAGTATTTACCCATTCCTAATTACAGTGTTCTACTATATTATTTATGAATTATATCAATAAATATACCTTTATTTAAGATACCAGTTCTGAAAGAAATAATTTCTCAGTAAACACATAGTACCTCGAAAGCCTAAAACCTCGACCTACCTACCCAGTGATAGCCAAAAGAAAGTATACAGGTTTGGAAAGCCTAAAATTTCCTGGTGGCAGCCTAACCTACCCAGGCTGCTGCCACACACGCTAAGTAATCCACTTTCAATCCACTTTCAGTGCACTTTCAAAGTGGAGTTTTACTGTGTGAACTGGCAAAATCCACTTTGAAAGTGCACTGAAAGTGGATTGAAAGTGGATTACTTAGCATGTGTGGCAGCAGCCCCCAGTTGAACAAAATAAAAAGAACACTTTAAAGTGAAATCAGGCCTCCCCAGATAAGGGGTCGTCACAGTAGTATATACCATAACATTAGAGAAGTTTTAATTAAGCCTACTGTTAACTCCTACCCAGGTCGTAATAAAAGGATACTTTTGTCAATTATGCTGGCAGGTGATAATCAAAAGCTGACTAGGATGGCTGCCAAATTTGGTTGGTTGGCATACCGAACTAGGAAAAAGATAAAAAAGTACAGATAGACCTAGATTTATTTTAAATTTCTGATCTTAATATTAGTTTTACCATTTCTGTATTTTAAAACTTTTAGATTCCTATTTATAATTTTGGATGCTATTATATTTTATAATTTTACTCTTCTTTTATCACTTATTTATCTGCCTCCTATTGTATTGATTGTTGGTCTATGACCGTAACAAATGTGTGTGTGCGCTGATGTCCAAACTGACATCCTCCTTCCTTCATTCAGTGGAGAGATGAAGATGAATAAGGCATCGATTTTAAGTGTACGTCTGTCAGGGTCAACAGCAAGCATGTCCAAACACACTCTCCTGGAAAGGCTATGTTTTATTGGAATACTGGTCTGTTGCCAAGTGGTACAGGTACATTGTCAGGAATAACGATTAGTGCAAGGGGCTCCATACATATACTCTGATGGTGCATCTAGCTAAGCAAATGAAATCCAAGCGTGCGCACAGGAATTCTCCTGGTGAGATATTGCATCATGAATGGGAGACTCACCCCAATACCTTGAGAGGAGAAATATTCACACCTGTAGTGGAATTCAA